TCCACCTTCACTATCTTCTTTGTTTTTCTTCCTGCTCTACTTCTCATGTCCAGTTATCCTTGAGGGTTGGCCCAGTTTGGAGTGTTTTCAGCTGCTTGCGCCACCATGACGTGTACCTTTTTAAAATCAAAACATATCTCAAGGCACCTGCTAGGAGAGTTATAAAACAAGTTTATAAAATCATGAGGGGCATCGATAGGGTAAACAGACAAGGTTGTTTTCCACGGTGTGGGAGAGTCCAAAACTAGACAGCGTAGGCTTAAGGTGAGAGGGGAAAGATGTAAAAGGGACCTAAGGGCCAACTTTTTCACGCAGAGGATGGTGCATATATTGAATGAGCTGCCAGAAGAAGTGGTGGAGGCTGGTATGATTATAACATTTTAAAAGGCATCTGGATGGGAATATGAATAGGAAGGGTTTAGAGGGATGTGAGCCAAATGCTGGCAAATGGGACTAGATTTATATAGGATATCTGGTCGGCATGGATGAGTTGGACCGAAGGGTCTGTCTCCATGCTGTACAGCTCTATGACTCTAAGTGACACACTTAGCCACGTAAGGAAGTATGAGGTAAGATTACCTGAAAGCTTGAACAAAAAAACTCAATTCTCATCTCTTAAACAATGTAGTCTGTGGAAAGCTTACCTAGACCTCATTGCTGTACAATTGATTTTGTAGGCCAACAAAGGATCTTTAACAGACCTATCCTCTCAAGTGAAGAGACCAAGTAATCTTGGAGAAGAAAATAGTTCTCCAGTTAAGGTTAGTTTGGAATGTGGAAGCGTTTGATTTTCGCAAGATCAATTTTTTAATTTCATTTGTTCCTGATCAAAGCTCGAAGGAGTATATTCCATGGTTTACGCGCCTGGTTCACTGTCAGTAATTAAAACATCAGAAAAAGAGACAGGGGCGGGTGTCCTTATGAATAGAGGAAACAATCACACATAATATTATTAACTTGAACCCTACCTCAAGTCACAGTATGCTAAACGTATGAGGGAAGGATTGTGTCTGATAAATGATTTCTGAATTTAAGGAATAGTTATGGCTTTGTAACACTGTAATTTGCTCTTTTGTCTTTGTCACTACTTACTTATCTTCTGCAGTTTATAGCCTCAGGCACAATATGACTTCTTAATCTATTATTCTCCATTCTGTATAGCTAGAAATATGAGATAAAAGTTTCTGTTCAACCTCTTTTTTCTCGCTACATTACTTTGTGCTTCTGTTTGCTCAAAAACATTCTGACTCATAAGGAGTGAGGGGAAGCTTACAGGAGAAGCATTTGGTGTAACTATGTGCAAGTTGTCTGAATATGATGACAAAAGCAGAAAGATAGAAATTGGGCTGATTGGAGGCAGGTAACAAAACCAGGACAGAACCATAGCTTGGTTTATATTTACTTGGTAAATGAAAAAATAATTTGTGAGGGCAAGGATAATCTGCCCACTTGCAATCACTTGTTTCATGTCACTGTTCACGGTAAATCAATTCCTCTTTTAAAAAAAAGCTTTAAAATCTATCTTCGGATTGAACTGGACACCAGAGTTGTGAACTGTTAAATCAGTGTTGACTCTATTGTAAGATCTAATCACCTTGTTTCATTTCTCTGCTCTGTCCACGTACCTTTCTTAGTTATATTATTCCTCAAATATATGTTTTTGTAATTAAACTGTTACAAATGCTTCCCTGTGCTGTATTTTGATTGGTATAATATTACCTAATTACTTCCCCCAACCAAAGCAGAAAGCCAATGGCAGAGAGCGGCTTTTCTTACCATACACTTTTTTTTTCATTTTCCTGAAGATTTTGTGTGAATCTTAAATTGTGTGTCACACTGAAAGAGGCTATTCAGCCCATTGACTATGTCGGCTCAAAGAGCTAGTTAGTTAATTGCAGCCCCTGCTCTTTCCTCCATATCCTTGCATTTTTTCTACTTCACCTATTTATCCAATTCACTTTTGAAAGTTACTATTGAATCTGCTTCCATGTTTTGTACCTTAAATCACTGGGTTTGGTTTTTAAATCCTCACATCTTGTTGGATTCTTTTTGTATTCACCTAATCTTCGTACTTTGGTTACTAACCTTTTCTGTCACTGGAAACAGTTTCCCTCTGAATTTATGCCTTGAATAAGCAATTGTAATACACAATGAAAAGAGCTGTGGGCTAGTGACAAACCCAAGAAACACCACTGCGTACTTAACTTCCAGTCTATAAAACAAATGTTCACCACTATGCTCTGCTTTCTGTCTCTTCGCCAATTTTGTATCCATGCTGTCACTGTCCTGTTAATCCCATGGGCTTTAGTTTTGCTAACACAGTCAGTTATGTGGTAATTTGTCAAATGCTTTTTGAAAGTTTACATACACGTTAATCGCCCAACCTTATTAACTCTGCATTACTTCATTAAAGAATTCTTATCAAGTTAGTCAAAGAATTTTGTGCTGACTTTCATTTGTTAGTCCATACTTCTCCAAAAGCTAATTATTGTGTCCCAGCTCAGTGCCTGTAAATGTTTCTCTGTCACTACACTACCATTAGCTCAACGATCCTGTGGTTTTCAGTTTATGTCCTCAATTTACTGACTCATCAAACAGTGGAATTATCCTCATCTAAAACGTTTGAATCCCAGTGGAACTTCTCCCTGTCAAATCTCCTCTTGATCTCTTTTTTTCTAATGAAAAGATGATGGTAGTTTTGAAGGTGAGAAGCAGCAGTCCCTCTAATTAATTTTTCTACTGCATGGACTTAAGGACGGCTACGTGCTGGAAGCCAATGGGTCAGCATGCCAATTAAATATATATATATATATAGTCTCAGGTTTTATAGTCAGAAGCAAAATGATCATGCATACCACTAACCTCAAAAAAAGTTGCCCACAGAATCGATTTTCCTCTATGGTATGGATTTTTCCTTTTCCAACATTAATTTGAATCTGGCACTAAGCAGATTCCCAGACATCCAGCAACCGTGATGTCATCAAACAACATAAACAATCATAATGAATTATTCTGGCAGGCAGTAAACTGGGAGGTGAAGTGCACTGATTATTCTTCATTGTTTTGGCAGTTTTACAGAGAACAGCATAAAATTTGGACCATGTGCTGGCATTAAAAGTTGAAACATCATAAACTTTGTTTTAAAATATGATTTTTCTTATTTGTTATTTCACAAATACAAGTTTCTTCAGGACCAGAGAGACTGTTCAATAGTAGTTATGGCGTGGTATGCTGTTGGAAACCCAGTCATCAATAAGGCATACATTTGTTCCCCACAGTATTTAATAGTGATATCACATTGTGTAAAGGAAACTTCCTGTCAGTTCACTGATTCCTGAAGATTGCCACTAGCGGGGAAGTCAGCAGGTGCATCCCACAGAAGTGCTGTGGGACTTGCTGAGAGCAACTTCTGGATTTCCATGTTGAAGCGTGCATGCGTCAATGCCAGAAATACCCATCCATTTCACAGGTTGGTAACAACAAACTTCAAAAACTGGGCCATCACTGTCAAGCTCATTGTAGGACATTAACCAGATAAAGCAGGGTAGGTTGTTGTCACAGACCATCCATCAACCTTCTGCTTGCCCATCTCCGGTCACCCAACTGATCAGAATTTTGGCTTAATGGATAATTTGAAGTCAATTGTAAGGAGTGCGTCAGTGGCAGGTTAACTGTCAGCAGTTAGCAAGACTCAAGAGTCACTTGGCAGTGTAGTGGGGCTGGTTCAATTGAGGCATTTAGGAGGGCATTGGATAATTACTTCGATAGAAATGGTATGCAAGGCTATGGGGGGAAAGTAGGAGTTTGGCACAAGGTGATACTTGTTTGAAGAGCTGTAGGCATGTGGGCTGGATCACCTCCCTCCCATTGTGAGATGTTAATGTGTGCAAATAGGCCTCTCTTTGCTCACGAGAATTTTATCTTGCAAATTAACATTTGGTTGAAAAATGGGTCTTTTTGCTCTGTGTTGAAAAGCTCCTTGTTTGCCATCACGCGTGATTTTTCCCATTTTTCTTGCCAATGCCCATGTCGATCAGTGCCTGGGAAGATTCTGCCCAGTGCCTCTGACATTGCAGCATGCCTTCAGTACTGCACTAAAGCTTAGATTACATACTAATGTCACCAAGAGAGGGGCTCAAACCAACAACCCCTGATTCAGAAGCGAGAGCGCTGCCAGCTACTGGCTGAAACCTAAATGAGTCTTTTGCAATCCAAACTCGGGCACGCTTTGACATTAGGTAGAGTGGGGTGTTAAGGAAAACAAAACAATGGATGAAGTAGTGAGGGAAGAACAACCAACAAAGAGGCTCTTTTTCTTTTCTCTCCATGAAGGATGTGAAGTCTCGTCAGCCTCCATTGAAACCTCTTCGTAGAAAACATCGGCCTGAAAGCCAGGGGGAGAGTCAGGAACCATTGCCTCGACTGAATTCGACTTCCGCACCAGACGCTAAACTGCACCAACAATTGCAAAAGTAATATTTGTCTTGCCTTTAATATGCAGTCATTCAGAGCTTTAATGTAATCTTAGAGCACAATATTTATGATCTTTAGCTGTAGCCTCCATACTGTACTGTTATCTCAGTGGTGTACCACTTCAAGTAAGTGGAAAACAAGTGAGTACTATGTACAATGTGCATCGCAAAGAAATGGGCAGTGTATTGCGCAGAGCTTCACCTCCTACAGAAGTTAGAGGTCACCAGCGAAAGCTGAGTTATGTGGCCTTAGACCAGCTGTGTCTGCTTACTGTGCATTGATAAGAAATCCCTTTTCAAAAACCCTGTTTTATTAGTCATGAAAGAACGGCACAAAAAGGGGATTCATTATGGACAGAAAGGTACAGGATAAATCCTCCATTCAGGGTCGAGTGCTGGTTCTCAACTCTGTTTGACCTCCGATTAATACCAGCGGAGTCTACCAGTTGTATTGTGTGTTAGATATTAATCTTTACCCGTACAGCCGTGCAAAACATAACCCTGGATCAGCAAGAAAAGATCTCTTGCAAACTATATAGTCATGGATAAGTGACTGGAATTTTTTTGGGAAAGGAATAAAAGTCACATCCAACTAGCCTGGAATTCAGCAAACTTCAAAATTGCGCATAAACCCTGCATCTCTCAGACCTTACCTGTTGACAGTCAATGATCAGAGATCCCTGTGACGGGTGTAATTTGTCACTCACTGAAATGTTAAACTGAAGATGATTATGGATTCAATTACTTCATTATAATAAAAAAATAACCTTTTTTTTTGTTTCTTGTTATAGAATGCCATCCAAGCATAAAAAAGCCATTCAGACAGCGGTTCGCAAAAACAAAGAGGCTAATATGATTCTGGTCAGGTTGAATGGTGAACTGCAGCAGCAATTCAAAGTAAGATAACAGCATTAAGCTGAAGAGTTCAATTTTATAATTGCTGCAAAAGCAGATCCCGCTTTTTCACAACAAATCCAGTTCCATCTCGCTTTTTAATATAATTTGTTTTTTTTTTTTTTTTTGAAGCATTGATTTGCAGAAGTCTAAATTGTCTTGCTATTAGCGTGATGGATATACCAATGTTTGTAGATGTGCTGGTGTTTGTAACCTGGGTAACGCATTCAGCTGGCATTTCACTCCTTACCTTCCAGGTGATGCCAGTCTTGGGATGGAGTTGGGCACCTTGCCACATTCTAATGTTGACATATTATTGGTAGAGTGTAGTTCACTCCCTTTTACTCTTTTGACACATTAGGAATTATCATGAGTTTTATCCACCTACAGCTTTTGAATTTTTAATTTTTTTTGATCAAACAGCATGTTAATGATTTGGTGTTTGGAGAACTAGCAGCTGCCTCATTGCCAAAGACTGTAGGTTGCACGGTTTAGTTTGAATTTCCACTCCAGAGTCATTGATGCAGGAGAAAGTTACCCAGATGGTGGCCTGATTTTTGTTCTGGGGTTAGGTGGGTGGTGCCAGTGTGTGCTGGGCCCACTGCCCAGTAAGTGGGAAATGCATGCTTTGGTCTTTGTCACAGCTACTTTGTTTGTTTGTTTTAAAAACAATCAAAAATCCCAGTTCCTCACTCGCCCTTATCCTAACTCTGCCAATTTATGCCACCTCACCTCCCTACCCACTCCATGCCCTTCCTCCTCCATGCCAACGTTGCCCCCCTCAAACTGCCTTTCATATCTCTTCCTATGCCCCTTCACTCATGACCTTTTATAGACAATTTGTCAATGTTTTGCCAACCATACCCCCAACACAATCCTTTGCTATTACATCCTTCAACTACTTAATCTCTTGTAAAAGCAAACATTTGTATTCATAGCCCCATTCCAATTGTTTCTGACCGCTTGGTAAAGTCAGTGCAACTGTGAATTGTTTGGCACCTAACTGCGATAGTCAGGGATAGAGACAGAAATCTTGAGACCTCTGTGCAGCCTCTGGCCCTAATTGATGGTCCCTGTTGTACCCTCCTGTGGCAGGCCTGGCAATAATTAGAGGTTGTGAAATCAGTCTTGCAAGTCTATTCCTGCAATGATAGTCTTGTGTCTAACTAGGGAGAGTTAAGTTGTAAGTAAGCAGTGTTATCTTGGAGAGAGGTGAAATTTTTAATGCTACTTGTACCAGTGACTGTGATTGTAATACCTTGAGGCAATATCAGTTCACTCATTTTGACAGTACTGAAACTTCTCCAAGGGGGAGACAGTACTGAAACTTCTCCTTAGGGGCTCTTTTGCTTGCTAAGCTCAATAGAGGAGCAGAGGTCTGTAGTGAGTAGATGGACAGTAGGCATACTACAAGTAGTCTCTGCTACCTTGTGTAGTGAGTGAAAAGGTGACTAGAGTTTGATTCCTGACCTCTGTTCAACAACCTATGGTGGGATCCCAAATGTCTGGGGCTTGGGTGAGGAGGTGTTGGTCTTATCTGTGCTATTTCTATAGATTAAGTAGCCTGCTAATAGTCATGAGTGACTGCTTGGGCACGGTGCTAACTATAGGAACTGGAGCTTGAACATTTAGCAGCCCCCCCAAGCATGTTCTGCCTTTCAATGAGATTTTGGCTAATCTGCGATTCACTTCAAAATACTTGCCTTTGTCCCATATTGCTTAAAACATTTAGTTATCAAATCTAGCCATGTCGGTTTTAAAATGAGCAATTAATCTAGCATCCATCAATTAATAATTGATTTAACTAATTGAAAGAGTTAACATGCAAACTTCCAAGACCCTTTGTGTGAAGAAGTGTTTTCCAGTCTCTCCTGAAGAGTATGATTCTATTTTGTAGACTGTGCCCTTAGTCCTTCATTCCCCAACCCATAGAAATAGTTTCTCCCCACTTACCTTATCTGTTGCCCTTTGTATCTTAAGATTTTGATTAAATCACCCCTGAACCCTCGTAATTCCAAGGATACAGCCCTGGAGCCTTGTTTAATCTCTTCTTAAAGCTTAAGCCTTGGAATCCAGGTATTATGTGAGTAAATCTACCCTGCAGTCTCTCCAAGGCCAATATATCCTTCTGAAAGTGTGCTGCCCAGAACTCTGTATAGTAGTCCAGGTGTGGTTTAGCCAGGGCTTTATGTAGCTGAAGCATAACTTCCTCTAGATGTAAAAATCAACACTTGGTTAATCGTTTTGATTAAAGGGAGACTGAAGGTAACTTTGTAAAAGTGTTTTATGCGTTAAAACCCAGGGGGCAGACAGCAACTACTTGAATGTTTTAAACAAAACAAATTATTTTTCAGAAGTGATATTATTCTATTTGACAGCGTTTTTAACCTTTAGTGGAGAGCTAGATAGAGAGTTAGCTGCAAGTTCCACCAACTGGAGGAACACAAGTAGCTCACACACTGATGAGCACTCAGCACAGGAGAATCAGAATGTGCATTGAATTCTCTGGAGTGGGACTTGAATTCATCACTTTCTAGCTTGATGGCCAGATTGCAACTTACTGAGCCAGCATAAGTACCTGTTATAGCTGTTACAATATCACATAATTTAATCAATGTAATCCTATGTCAATAAATTATCTCACCAGACAGTTAACAGATGGACACAAAAAATATGATGGAAGCCTAAATGCAAACAAAGTGTTGCATGTATTCAGCAGATTTGGCAGTATCTGTGGGAAGAGAAAAGGAATTAATATTTAAGGTCAATAATCTTTCATCTCAATTGGAAACAAGTTGAAGATACAACAGAATTTAACCAAGTTAAAGATGGGGAGGGGTGGAAAGAACAAGAGGGGATATCTGTGATGAAGTAGGTGGCAGAAGCAGAATGCACCTGGACACAGACAATGTTCAGCTTTGGGATGATAAGCAGCAAGTAGCATTAGAATGACATGAGGTGGCACGGTGGCTCAGTGGCTAGTACTGCTGCCTCACAGTACCAGGGACCCAGGCTCGATTCCACCCTCGAGCGACTGTCTGTGTGGAGTTTGCACATTCTCCCCGTGTCTGCGTGGGTTTCCTCTGGGTGCTCCGATTTCCTTCCACAGTCCAAAGATGTGCAGGGTAGGTGGATTGGCCATGCTAAATTGCCCATAGTGTCCAGGGATGTTTAGGTTAGGTGGGTTAGACATGGGGAAATTAGGGGAATGGGTTTGGGTGGGATGCTGTTCAGAGGGGTGGTGTGGACTTGTTGGGCTAAAGGGCCTGTTTCCACACTGTAGGGATTCTATGACACAAATGCATGGCATTGACTCTGGCAAATGAGTGTCTAACTACCTGCGATCAACATTCATTCATATTGCAATCATTAATGATGCCACAACCAACATCCTGGGGACTCATCATTGACCAGAAATTTAACTGGATCAGCTATTATTTAAGAACAGATGAGCTGGGTGTTTTTTCAGTAACTCAGCACCTCAGTCCAAAGTCTTTCCATTACCTGCAAGGCATAAGTTAGCAGTGTGCTTGAATGTTCTTTCTTGCCTGGATGAGTGCTGCGCCAACAGTGCTCATTCGCTTTAGGGGCTGAAGTAGGTCATTTGGTCCCCACATTCTGTCAGCCACTCAGTAACATCATGCCTGACCTGATTACTCCACATGCCTGCCTATCCCAATAACCTTTCACCCCTTGCTTGTCAAGAATTTGTCTACTTCAGCCATAAAGTTACTCAAAGGCAGTGTTCCTACTGTCTTTTGAAGAGAATTCCATTGATTTAGGACTCAGAAAAAAAAAGTTCTCCTCATCTGCTTTAAATGGGCCCCTTCCGTTTAAACAGTGACCCCCTAATTTTAGATTCTCCCACAAGAGGAACCATCTTTTCCACATACACACAGTCAAGATCCCTCAAGATCTTGTGTTTCAGTCAATTTGTCTCTTACTTGTCTAAGTCCCCGCAGATGCCTAATTGGTCTGGTCTTTCCTCGTAAGACAGCCCATCCAAACAAGATATTAGTCTTGTAAACCTTCTGTTAACTACTTTCACCACATGTATATCCTTGAAGACCAACACTGTGTACACAGTGCTCTAGATTGGGTCTCGCCTAACACCCTCTACAACTGAAGCATAGCCTTCCCTTTTGTATTTAACTTCCCTCATAAAAATGTTAACAATCTAAAAGTTTTCCTAATTTGATGTATCTGCAAATAAATTTTTCCAGCCATGCATTAGGAATCCCAGAGCCTTCTACAGCTCAGAGCTCTGCGTTGTTTCACCATTTAGATAATATGCTTCATTTTATTCTTCGTGTCAAAATGGACATTTTCATATTTGCCAAATTATTCTCTTTTCCAGATTCTTGTCCACTCATATCCTATCTATATCTTTTTTGTTTCCTCCTTACGTCTTCTTCACAACTTACTTTGCTGCCTATCTTTGTGTCATCAGCAAATTTAGTAACCATTATCTTCCATCCCTTCATCCAAGTTATTTGTAACATGTAATAAGTTGAGGCCCCAGCACTAATCCCCGTGGCACACCACTATCAGAAATTGACCCATTTATCTCTGTTTCCTGTGAGCTAGCCAATCTTCGATCCTTGCCAATATGTTTACACTTTATATAATTAGATTTAATTTTCTGCAATAACTTCTGATCTGACGCCTTCTTAAATGCCTTTCAGAAATTTAAGTACAGTACATCCATTGATTTTCCTTTACTTACAGCTCACATTAACTCTTCAAAGGACTCTAGTAAATTGGTTTAACATGATTTGTCTAAAACAGCCGTACTGAATCTGCCTGGTTACTTTAAGTTTTTTTTAAAAAACCCTGGTATAACATTTTTCATCATGGCTTTGATTATTATCTTTTCCACGGCAGACATTAAGCTAAATGACCTATCATTTCTGGCTTTGTCTCCCTCCCTTTTTGCATAATAGAGTTACATTCACTGTTTTCCTGTCTAAGGCACATTTCCAGGGATCTAGGGAATTTTGGAA